AAGGACACGTATCTCGGTTGCAGTTTGTCCCTGGCCCTGGTTGGGCCGTGTGGGTGGCAGCCACTTGATGTGTCCCTTTCACGTCGATGTTTCTTTCTCTCTCTCTGCCTCTCTCTCCCTCCTACTCTATCTGAACAAAAAATGAAAAAATGTCCTTGGGTGAGGATTAAAAAAAAATGGGCTGTTCAAGGTCGGATATTAGTTGATTGTCAACTGCCAGCTGTTGCCAAGTAGGCAGGCAAGAAATAAACAGGGTGGTCCTTGCTGTTCAGTACCACTCTCTTCACATTTGGAGATCTGTAACAGGAAGTTCTCAGAAAGATTCTAACAACAAAAGCCCACGACCTACATTCTCTGAGAACTCACCCACATTCTCACCCCCTGCACAGAGCTGGGTCTAGGGGCATATTATTTGGGACCCTGTTCCCCTGACCATAGCTGGCTGGAATAGGGAAGGCTCCTTAGAAGAAAAAAAAATGTTTTTTGGTACGTGCCCTTAGCAGGAACCGAACCCGGGACTCTCTGGTCCACAGGCCGACGCTCCAACTACTGAACCAAACTAGCCAGGGCTAGAAGAAATTTTTAAATGATTAATAAAAAGAGCCCTGGCCAGTTTGGCTCAGCGGTTGGAGCGTCGGCCTGCGGTCCTGAGAGACCCGGGTTCGGTTCCCGCTAAGGGCACGTACTTCGGTTGCGGTTTGTCCCCGGCCCTGGTTGGTCGTGCGGGTGGCAGCCACTCGATGTGTCCCTTCACGGCGATGTTTCTCTCTCTCTCTCCCTTCCTCTCTCCCCCTCCCACTCTGTCTGTACAAAGGATGGAAAAATGTCCTCGGGTGAGGATAAAAAAATAAATAAATAAAATAAAAAGATAAATATTTTGTGATTTAAAAAATAAATTTAGTGAACCTAAAAAATAATAGGGGAAGACCCCTGGCTCAAGTGGGTCAGTTACTCAAGAATCTGGGGATGGGACAGGTACATGGGAGTCTGTGTACTTGATGTAGGAGTACAGACTCATTTTGGAATGGTGGGTGTGGGAGGCAGCTATATTCCCCACGAGCACAAAGAAAGCTTATCTGCAAAGAAAGCAGATTAAAGCAGGGAACATCAATGTAGCCCCAGGCAGGGATGGGGAGGAGTGGGTGGGGGTGGAGAACACTGAAAAACTGAGAAAATGGCTATCGTGGTATCTTACAGCCCATTTCCAGATTTCAAGCTTTCCAAGGCCTCTGTTTTGGACCCCATAGGTTCTGTCATCCTTTTTGCCTAAACTGATCTGAGCAGACTTCTATTATTTACAAGCAAGGAGCCCTAATTGGGAGTAGTCATCTGGGTTAGGTCCCCAAGGACAGAAGCATTAGAATAGATATTACTGAGAGGACTCAGGAAATACCTAAATCCTATCAACAGGCTGAAGTATATCTTTGGGTCTGAAGCGGATTTAGTGAAAATTGTAACTTAACCAACCGGTACTATGACTGAAGGATACTGAAGGGTACAGGGGTCTAGTACAAATTGGGTGCTTTGCAGTGTGTTGAATGGCCAAAACTAAAATGCAAACATCGAATTGGGGAGAGAAGTTCACGACAAAGGGAATAAATTTTTCTATGTATTTTCTTTTTTGTTGTTCAGATAGAGTGGAAGGGAGAGAAAGGAAGAGAGAGAGAAACATCAACGTGAAAAGGACACATGGAGTGGCTGCCACCCTCACAACCAACCAGGGCCGGGGACAAACTGCAACCGAGATACGTGCCCTTAGCAGGAACCAAACCCGGGTCTCTCTGGACTGAAGGCCGATGCTCTAACCGCTGAGCCAAACCGTCCAGGGCTTTTTATGTATTTTTACGTCTCATTTTAGTAAAGGTTTCTACAAAGCGAATACCCACTATTAACTGTAATGAGTATTCCATCCATAGTCAGCCCCCTCCTCCCTACTCAACCTGAGTGTTTGGACAGGGTATGTGATACATGCTGGGACAATCAGAGCCCTCCTCTGGTGTTTTGTTGTTGTTAATCCTCACTGGAGGATATTTTTTCCATTGATTTTTAGAGAGTGGAAGGAGAGGAGGGAAGGGGAGAGAAAGGAGAGAGAGAGAAAGAGATGTGAAAGAAACATCGATTGGTTGCCTCCTGCACAGGAAATGATGGGGCCAGGAATCAAACCTGCAATCCAGGTACGTGCCCTTGACCAAGAATGAACCTGCAAGTGGGTCGATGCTCTAACCACTGGGCTCCCCGGGCATTTTGAATTTCCAGCTAGAGAGAGGGAGGAAGGTGCAGCTCCTTTTTTTTAAATCCTCATCTGAGAACACTTTTGCATTCATCTTCAGATACAGCGAGAGGGGGAGAGAAACATCTATGCCAGAGAGACACATTGACTGGCTGCCACCCACACGACCCTAGCAGGGGCCAGGGACACACTGCAACCAAGGTGCATGCCCCTAGCGGGAACCAAACACGAGTCTCCCTGGACCACGGGCCAATGATTTAACTGCTGAGCCAAACAGGCCAGGGCGGTGCAACTCCTTTTTGATGGCAGATGTGAAGCTGATTTGACAGACAAATTCCCCATAGAGCAGAAACCAGTCTGCAGCAGGAAGGAAAGTTGCAGATGACACAGGGAGAAGGTGGCATTTGAGTGACTCCAGTTGTCTCTGAGGCCAGCTGCACCTGCCCTTCTTATAGTTTGGTGACATGAGTCAATAAAGCCACCAATTGAGACATCTATCAAATGTGGGGCACAAGGGATCACTACATAATCCTAATCACCCAATTGCTACTGAGACAGGATTGCCTCAAAGATGGTCTTCAACCAGTCCCTATGCACAGACTTGATTTGCTCTATGCTCCCTTCATTTGTATGAGAACCAGGAGGAGATCTTTGGAGGGTCAATGCTCTGTGGCTTATCTTTTATCCAAATGCCCGTACTGGAAGGTGCAAAACCACTCAATGGGTCCTTTCAGGGTGATACTAGTCATCAACAGGTACTCCAGGGGTACAAATGCTTTGCTTACTCCAACATTCATTTTCCTCTTCTTTAATGGTAGAACCTTGATTTTATTCAAGGCATCAATTTATCTATCTAAAAGCCATTGCCCATCCTCTCTTGAAGCCAGATGTACATGCAACCAAGTTCTGGCCAATGAAATGCAAATAGAGTGTTGTATGGTACTTCTAGGTGTCTCTTTAAAAAGAAAGAAAAGGTTTTATTCCCTCCCTTTTCGCCTTTATTCTGCCTGGAATGTGGAACTCTAATAGGCATTTTGAACTTGAGACAATAAACCAACAATAGCTCCTCTGTAATCCAGGACCTGAGTTCCTTCTATCTTGCTTCTTGGTCTTCATCAGCTCATTGCTCATGGTCCAAGAGGGCTGTTAGAAATCCATGCATCACTTCTCATTAAGATCAGTTGTATATAATAGACTGAGTCCAAAAACCAGCAGCGAAACAAGACAGAAGTTTATTTCTCTCAAAATTGTTTTCTCCCTCACAGAAATAAAGTTCTGTTTTGTTTATGCTACTGTTATTTTGGGCTGTTGACCTTAAACAAATAGACTGTCATATATTTCTCCAGCAAAATGTGTTTATTCAGAAACAACAAAGAATTGCAATCCACGACATGCAGGTCTAATGGCCAACCACGCACAAGTCCAGAGAAAACTGCTTTTTTGTGGACTTGGGAGGAGCTGTTGTAAAAGGAAGAGTTCACTGAAGGAAACAGAAAGTTCAAAGTATGGCGACTTTTCATTGGCTGAGCTATGGAAGTCTCCCATTGGCCGAGCTGTTACTGGGCAAGGAGCAGTTTTTTTCTTTCTCCTGCTGATGTAGTAAAGTAATATCACTTCCTGTCAGAGATGCAGGTACCTCTCTTCCTGTTGGGGTCAGTAGTGTGTGTTGAGTGACATGTGCCTGAAAATTCTCTTCTAGTGGCCCTTCCCCCAAAATCCACACTATTTTAAATGAGGTTTCTGTTTATTAATTTTCTCAGGGCTTTGTCTGTTATATGTAACCGAAGCTAATCATCCATCAAGTCCCCTCGGGTAGGCACTGGAGTATGTATTACACTGGAGTACATTGGAGGAGTCGGTTAGAGGGCTGGTTCCAGGCCCACTGTGGGTAAAGTGTACTTCCCCACAGGAATCTGCTCCCACCTTCAAAATCCTCCCAAACTTAACTCATTAGGGCCTTGCAGGGAGCAGACACCTTCCAGGGAGCAAATACCTTCCAGGGAGCAAAATGGGTAGAGAGACTTCATCTGAGCTAGTTTGGGAGGAGGAAGGCTGAGAGGGGTGGTGCTCTTTTTAAAAAAATTCTCCACCAAGGATTTGATGAGAGAGAGAGAAAGGAAGGAAGAGGGATGGAGAGAGAGAGAGAGAGAGACAGCCATCAGTTGCCTCCCATATGGGCTCTGACTGGATATCAAACCCACAGAGTGGGGATCAAACCCGAAACCTGGATATGTGCCGTGACCAGGAATCAAACCCAAGACCCTTCAGTGCACAGGAACACGCTCCAACCAACTGAGCCACACCTGCTAGGGCGAGTGTTGCTGTTAACCTTTGCCTCTTTATTATGGATAAGGCTTCAGGTTCCATAATGTCCCTTCTTCTTTGTTTCCTTGCCTCAGGACATCTCTCTGGAGCCTAGAGTCTAGACCACCACTACCCGATAATGTGGGCCACATAAACTTTTCTAGCAGCCACATTTTAAAAAGCAAGAGGAGCCCTGGCCGGTTTTGCTCAGCGGTTAGCGCATCGACCCGAGGTCCAGAGAGACATGGGTTTGGTTCCTGCTAAGGACACGTACCTCGGTTGCAGTTTGTCCCCGTCCCTGGTTGGTGGTGCGGGAGGCAGCCACTCAATGTATCCCTTACACGTCGATGTTTCTCTCTCTCTCTCTCTCTCTCCCTCCCACTCTGTCTGAACGCAAAATGGAAAAATGTCCTCAAGTGAGGATAAAAAAAATAAATAAATAAAATAAAAATAAAAAGCAAGAGGAGTGCTCGCTTCCGCAGCTCATATATAAAATCAAAACAATACAGAGAAGATGAGCATGGCCCCGTTGTAAGGATGACATGCAAATTCGTGAAGTGGTCCATATTTAAAAAAATAAATAAGTACACCCTGGCTGGTTTGGCTCAGCAGTTAGGGCGTTGGCCTGTGATCTGGAGAGACCCGGGTTCCCACTAAGGGCATGTGCCTGGGTTGCAGTTTGTCCCCGGCCCTGGTTGGGATGTGCAGGTGGCAGCCACTCGATGTGTTCCTTTCACGTCGATATTTCTCTCTCTCTCTGTCTCTCTCTCTCTCTCTCTCTCCCTCCCACTCCGTCTGAACAGGATATGGAAGAATGTCCTCAGGTGAGGATGAAGAAAAAAAAAAAAGTAAAAAGATAGGTGAAATCAATTTGAGTAATAGATTACTTCACCCAAATATACACAAAATATTATCATTTTCAACATAATCAATATAAAGAATCATCAATTAGATTGTATGAAGCATAATCAATATAAAAATCATAAATAAGGTACTTTACATTCTTTTTTGTTCCAAGTCTTTGGCATCTAGTGTATATTTTACCCTTACAATAAATCTCAATTCGGGCTGGTCATGTTTTTAAAATTTTTATTATTTATTTATTATTATTATTTCTTTTTTTATCCTCACCCAAGGATGTTTTTCCATTTTTTGTTCAGATAGAGTGGGAGGGAGAGAGAGGAAGAGAGAGAGAGAAACTTCGACGTGAAAGGGACACATAGAGGGGCCGCCTCCCACACGCGCCAACCAGGGCCGGGGATAAACCGCAACCAAGGAACGTGCCCTTAGCAGTAACTGAACTCAATCACTCTGGACTGCAGACTGACGCTCTAACCACCGGCCAGGGCTATTATTATTATTTTTTTAATCCTCACTCGAGGACACTTTTTCATTCATCTTCAGATAGAGCAAGAGGGAGAGAGGGAGGAAGAGAGAGGGAGAAACATTGAGGTGAGAGACACATCAACTGGTCGTCACCCACATGACCCCAACTGGGACCGGGGACAAACTCCAACTGAGGTACGTGCCCTTAGTGGGGACCGAACCTGGGACTCTCTGGACCACAGGCCAATGCTCTAACCGCTGAGCCAAACCAGCCGCGGCTATTTTTTATTTTGTATTGATTTTAGAGAGAGGAAGGGAGAGGGAGAGAGAGATAGAAACATCGATGAGAGAGAACATCGATTGGCTGCCACCTGCATGCCCCCCACTGGGGATTTAGTCCACAACCCAGGCATGTGCCTTGACTGGGAATCGAACTGGGACCTCTCATTCAATGGTGTGATGCTCAGTCCACTGAGCCACACCAGCTGGGCAGGGCTGACCACATTTTAAGTGTTCAATAGTTCCATGTGGCTGGTGGCACATTGGACAGAGCAAGTCTAGACTCTGCTTCTTTCTCCTCCCAAGCCAGCCAGGTCCATCTTCCTGTTTCTCATTGTAAGATTTTTTTTTTTGTATGTGCACCTAGTGGGAACTGAACCTGGGACTCTCTGGTCCGCAGGCTGATGCTCCAACCGCTGAGCCAAACCAGCCAGGGTTATTGTAAGATTTTTTTGTCTCTCGGCCTGACTCTTTCGGATTGATTGTTTTTGTTTTTTGTTTTTTTGAGTGCTTTTGGATCTTTCAGATATTCTTTCTCTCCTGGCCCACAGAGTCATGGACCAGCCCGTCTCCATTCTGTGCCTAGCCTTGATGACTCCAATTGTCTGGAAGGAAAGTTCAGATGTGTGAAGTTCCTCAGTTGCTTCTCAAATACATGGATAATCCTTCATATAAGCAGTTTCACACCACTGCTCCCCAAATTCCAAGAGTTAAGGTCTTGCAAAGGAAACAGAAAGAGAATCACCTAATGAGTGAGGTTATTTCTGATTGCCAGTCACTTGGGAATCTGGCAAGTCTTTAGATTGGAACTGAAAACTGGGATACAGGGCAAAGGCAGGTGCAGAAGGGCTTTCTCTCTCTTGGCTCTCAGTTTCCCGAAGGGTAGAGGTTGTCATGTGGCCTAAAGGAATGTGAGGACATGGAGCATGAGGCTGGCCAAGTTGTGTCAAATTCTGTGGGTCGAGCAGTGATCTTCAAACCGTGCCCTGTGAAGTTCCTAGTTTGTGGAGATATGTGCAGGGGGAGCAAGAGGGAGGCCCAGTGGGTAGAACTCTGTGCTCCCCAGGCTCCCCTCAACCTGAGCAGGGTGTGTTTTATCTATTTATACATTAAGGTTTTGCATACTATTTCATTTTTTAATGGCTTTACCTAAAACAAAACAAAACTCAAAATGGCTTAGATTTAAAAAAAAAAAAAACTGATGGTAAGAGAGGGTAGGTGATTTTCCTAAGATCACACAGCTAGGCAGTGGTAAAGCCAGGATTCAGATGACCAGGTATATTTCCTAAAGCTAAGCTCCTTTTACAAAAGAAACGGGTAATTCCTTTGACTCCTGCAAAGACATGTATGTGCTGCCTAGAGAGTCACAAGACCAAGGAGAGAGTGCATGGTATGTCCTGGAGGGATGAATCCTTAACATGTAGTTATAATATCTGGGTGTAATGAACTCTCACTGAGAACGTGGCTCTAACAAGCAGAGGAAGTCTTAGGACTCCACAAAAGATTCTTGAGATTTGTGTTTATCAAGAAACAGCTCTTTAGCCCTGGCTGGTTTGGCTCAGCGGTTAGAGCGTCGACCTACGGTCCTGAGAGACCTGGGTTGGGTTCCCGCTAAGGGCGCGTACCTCGGTTGCAGTTTGTCCCTGGCCCTGGTCGGTTGTGTGGGTGGCAGCCACCCGATGTGTTCCTTTCACGTTGATGTTTCTCTCTCTCTCTGTTCCTCTCTCTCCCTCCCACTCTACCTGAACAAAAAATGGGAAAGTGTCCTTGGGTGAGGATAAAAAAAAAAAAAGAAAAGAAAAAAAAGAAACAGCTCTTTAGACATTCAGCTGGCTGTCCGAGGCCACAGATTTTCCACCCTAGAACCTTGTCCCAATTTGTCTGTAACTTCACAGAGAAGACGCCTGTACTAGTAAACACTGCTGTGACCTACTCAAAACCTAGACTGGCCAAATTTTGGCACTATGCCAAGGTTGAGCTGGTTCCTCCAGCCCCTGCTTAGATCCCTACAGCTCTTCAGAGCTTGAAAAAAATAGTAGCGCTCAAACTGGTAGCTTGCAACAAACAGCTCACAGATAAGGAAGCTTTGCCAAGTGGTTTGGTGGCCACAGAGGTATGGATGTGGCTTTTTGTTTTGTTTTTTTTGCACTTTGCCCTCTCCGGTTTCTTTTACCTTGTCTTTTAGCATCAGCCCCATTTTCTCCTAAAACATTTTCTCCGTGTAGCTTGCAGGTAGGGGCCATGCTTATTCAGTTCTGAATCTCCACTGTTCAGCACCCTGCAGGGAGTCTGGAAGGTACTCAATTGGACCTAACTGATCTCCACTGCCTACTCATTCTCACCAAAGGCATTATAATTTATTCCTCGATTATTCTATAGCTGACTTAACAAAATTACTAGTATAATGTATATGTTTCAATGACTTATCACTCCTGAGTGGATTTGAATTTTAAGTAGGGGAAAGCTGAAAAAAGATTGGTTAAACCATAGGAATGAATCACTACTAGTGGCCCTGGCCGGTTTGGCTCAGCAGTTAGAGCATTGGCCTGCGGTCCCAAGAGACCCGGGTTCAGTTCCCGCTAAGGGCACGTACCTCGGTTGCAGTTTGTTCCCAGCCCTGGTTGGTTGTGCGGGTGGCAGCCACTCGATGTGATCCTTTCACGTCGATGTTTCTCTCTCTCTCTGTTCCTCTCTCTCCCTCCCACTCTACCTGAACAAAAAATAGAAAAATGTCCATGTCCTCGGGTGAGGATAAAATAATAAAATAAAAAATGAATCACTACTAGTGGAATTTCAGGTATAATGGGGGAGTGCCCCTGGATATGGCTCTATGTCCATGAGCGCATAGGCAAGCATAGCATCATTGGCTGTCATGTTTGAAGACCAGTCAATCTTTAACATCTGTTTCTTTTTAGTTCATTATTTGAATATTCTTGGATCATGGGTAATCAGAATGGTATTTGAATTTTAAAAAAAAGAGACAGAGAAACAGCTCTTTTTTATGAAAAAGAAAAATTGTTTGAAATATTTGAGTCAAACTACTCTGGGCTGTTTAAGCCCATATTGTGTCCATCTTTCTACAACACCATGGAGATCTTAAAGGACTCATTGCTGCTTGTGAGCATTGTCTCAGGACCACATCCAGCCATTCTCCCTCCAGACTGAACTTTAAGACATTTTTTCAGTAAAGAAGGGAAGGAAGGAAGGGAGGGAGAATGGAAGGGAAGAGAGAAAAGGAAACAGAAAATGGGAGGAAGGGAAGGAGACAAAGCCAAACAGGCCTCAGTACTCCTCCAACACACTAAACATGTAGTTGCCTCAGGGCCTTTGCACTCCTTCTCTGTTCTCCAGAAAACCTTACATCTTACTCCTTTCCTTCACTGAGGTCTTTGCTGAAGCAGAGGCCTTCTTTGACTACCCCATCTAAAAGAGCACCCCATCATTCTAACCCAGCTTTTTCTTCATAGCATTCATCAGCATCTAATATGTTGTATTTTATTTTAAAAACAATTGTCATGCCCAGCTGGTGTGGCTCAATGGTTAAGCGTCGACCCATGCACCAAGAGGTTGCCAGTTCGATTCCTGGTCAGGGCACATGCCCAGGCTGGGGGCCAAATCCCCAGTGGGGGGCATGCTGGAGGCAGCCAATCAATGTTCTCTCTCATCGATGTTTCTGTCACTCCCTCTCCCTTCCTCTCTCTCTAAAAATCAATAAAGAAAAAAAAAAAAGTCATGCCCAGCCAGTGTGGCTCAGTGGATTGAGTCTCATCCCATGGACTGAGAGGTCCCAGTTTGATTCCCAGTGAGGACACATGCAGGGTTGGGGGCTCAATCCCCTGTAGGGGGCATGCAAGAGGCAGCTGATCAATGTTTCTATGTTTCTGTCTTTCTCTCCCTTCCTTTCTCTCTAAAAAAATCAATAAAAACATATTTAAAAAAAAAACAACCATTGGCCCTGGCTGGTTTG